GAATTTGTATGCTATATTGTATACATATATATTAAGTTAGGCCTCTGAGCCAACCTTTTCCAACAAGTGAACGACGATAAAAATTTTATGTGCCTGGTGATCAAACATTATTTGTTTAGGTATACTATTTATATTATTACATGCAGCATGATAATGAATTGTTTAATAATATTCTTCTTTCGTTATTTCTCCATTAGATCATTTATTTTCAACGCATTAATACTTTAGTTTGTATATAAAGCATAAAGGTGTGTCTAAGTATTTAACAGTATTCAAGTGATCAACATATTTTGGTATAGTATTAATTTTAATAAGATAGACTGAAATTCCACTTAAGATCGATTAATCGATTGCATTTGGTTGGTTTACGGCCAATGGGTATTTACAGTAGGCGAATGTTGCAGGTAATGCCAATCAATTTCGACACAGGTACATCAACAATTGTAACTATAGAAAATTTTACCAAAATGGTCTTTACGTAGTCATAAACCAATCATTTTTGACATTTACAATTAGTTTTTGGTCAATTTTTACCAAACATAAACCATAATATTAGGATATTTTTTATAGTATTAAGACGTTATCACTTTATCTCAAAATCTTGAACTTTTAAACTGTGTTTCAGAAGGATAAATTTCCGCTGTATAGTGTGAGCTCGATATGCAACAATCCAATTTTGTAACTTTGTTCACCGAATAGCAATCGTTATAATCGACGAGGATACTATATACCTAAGTAAATGTTTTTTTATTTGTTACGATATTTTAAATGATTATAATTAAACTTATAAAAATCGAAAATATGAAATATAGTTGTATCAAAGTAAAGCACGCTTTTAACTAAAAAAATTTGAAAAAATTTGTGTTTATTGAAATTTATAATGAATAATACATAAATGAAATAATAAGTTCTAAAAAACAAATTAGCAGTTATCTTATTACAAGAAATTAAATTGGTTTTACGTTATAACTATTATGGGTAGCATCGTTTCATCTATAGTGAAACTAAAATTATTTATTATGTATATTATATTATATGAAATTATGTATGTAACTCATATAAAAATTGGTAATGGAGAACAAACCAAAATGATGAATGAATTACAAAAACAAGTTCAAAAATACTAAGCTGTTATTTTAGTCTTAATTTTAGGTGTGTTTCCAATGCCAATCCAATCAAAAAGTTCTGAAAAAAGAAATTGTAATTAATCCTATTATCAGTCATGAGCTGAATTTTCGGTGTCAAATATACTTAGTAGATTCGTATACGAATTTGCAAATATATCCAATTTAAATTTATATTAAATTATCTGGATTGCCTAACCTAGTTCATACAGTATAAAGACATTCTTAGTTTAAAAAATCAGAATAAGTGGTATATTTGTTAATTATATTTCTTATTTTTGTTACTTCAAATATTTTACATTTGGAAAACAGATGGGAGTTCGTACCTGAGTATGTACCTAAGTATGTACTTGATAACAAAAAATATGTGGTGTGTAAAGTGTATACATTTTAAACGGAAAATCGTGGCACTGCTTAATAGATACATGGATTCATTGAAATAGGAAACCAAGATTTTCAAAAAATTATACTGATAGCTATAACAATGAAAGAGAACGATAATGTAGTTTACGATATTATAAAATTGTTAGAAATGTTATAGCTTGTTAAATTCACTAAAAAAAATGACATACTATATCAAGGAATTAGGAAAACGCCATATGAAGCTATTTTCGGTAATTATGGCATTAATTAATGGATTTAAAACACAAGCAAGTGTAATGCTGTGATCACCCAGCAAAAAATTTCCATCTGCTCAAGTGAACGATACTGTTTGAGTGCATGTTCCAGATAGATTGAGAACGTCTAGATTTTAAAAATATCTTAACTGTAGTTAAAAACGTATATAATGAATTGCGAAAAATAATATGGGAGCGTGGGATGATCAGTCAACAGATGTACATTCGTAATCAATTTTCAGCGTAGAAAAAAAAATTGGTATCACTAAACGACGTTTTATCCGATAAGACGATTTCATTGAGACAGGTATCGACAGCTGCTTCTAGAGTTGATGGCCAAGGTTTGGTTGGATGCCCTTGTAAACAAAAGCAGTTCAAATGAGGTAATTTTGAAACAGTAAATGCTGAAATATCGTTTAACGTGCCGAAATAAATAAAAAAATAATAAAAACAAATATAATATTTCTACCAAATTTATCTACAGATTATTTATTTATTTATTCATTTTATTATCTATCTTATTCTGTTCTATCTATAAACTATATAAATTAATTTATTAATAGAAAAATAATTGTAGTTATAAGTTTACGATTTTCATTTATTTAAAACAAAAAACGCAAAATAATTAATTCTGTCAAAAAACACTGAGAAATGTTTACATTTTGAAAAATTTGTGAAAAAATAAAAAAAAAATTGATAAAAGTAAAAAAGCAACTGTTAACATTGATTACTTACTGCTAGGTGTTCATACACTTTAGCATAATTTATTATATATTGGAAATTTACGAAATACGATAGTGTTATATTTTATGAAATCATTTTGAAATTAATTCCCTCAAAATTTGTAGATAATAAATAAAACGAATGTAAATTCCACTAGAATATTATGTCTTTTAATATTATTCCATGGTTAAACATTTCATAGATAACCCCTGAAAGTTTTAATAAAATACAATCGGCATACAACGGTATCCCCATCCGTGAAATATAAATATTTATGAAACACAATTTATAAAAGTTAAAAATGTTCTCTGACGTGAMTAATGTGAAATCAGAGATAATTGGTTAACGAATCGAAATTATTTGTCATGTAAAATATCAGAACTACTAAAAGTAACTATAATATACTGTTGTGCATTTGAGTAACACATATTATTGTTATTTGAATTTAATATACACTGACATGTTTGGAAGTGAGAATAATTTTAACGGGAAATGGGATTTCGTTTGTGGTCTTAAAAATGAAAATTTTTATTTTATTGTTGTTACAATAATAATTATAAAGTTTCGTGTATGAACACGAATGGGAGTTGGAACTGGGAAAGGGAAAAAACTCCATAATCTAACTTTAAAATATATGATATCGTGTTCTAGCAATTATATTTCATTACAAGTTACGGCTAACTTATTCTATACTACTTGTCCAAATAATAATAAAAAAAAAACCCCTAGGTACGAAAAATATCACGATAATAATGATTCCGGCTACAACTATAGGCAATTCAAAGCGCTAGTGTTGGTTTGTTAGTATACCGATGGCTGATGGGTCAGATAAAAAATCGATAATATTATTATAATATTATTTTGCTATTGAATTTTTTACTCTTAATTTTTCTCATTATTTATTGTAATTTTCTCCTATCGAAACTAGAAAAAAAATATCAAATTTTTGATTAAAATATGGGTTTTAACGTGTCCATGACGAGGTTTTGTTGTGTAAATACTACGCGTACATCAACGAAACTCGAATAAACAAATTACCACGTTATTTATCACGTATTTTCATGCAGTAAGAATTATTATACGTAGCGCTGATAATCCAATGTCATACATGAGATATTATTATATGAGTATGGATAAACATACTCCCAATGACTACCTACTATTCTGTTTAACTWATGTTTGTTGTGTTTTACTTATACCGTGCAGTCTAAAATATCAATTTTAATCCCTTATTTGTTTGATATATGATCGATGTATTTGTCATTAAATATAGTATAATTTTATACGCACCTACAATCTATATAGATAAAAAATATAGTGATATAAATTATTATTTGTTTGGTTCAGGGAATATTGTATTTGTATTTTTTAATGGATTATGCTGTCTGCAGCAGTGCTGCTAGTTTTTATATTATTCGCCTGACCTAAAAATTATCTAAACACGATTAGAAAAGTGAGCTAAATTTATTATTTCAAAATAATATTTGTTTAATAGTGTTTAATAGTTACACAAGGTAGGTAAATACATTGGAAAGACTCGTGTTATCATGTTCGGTAAACATTGGTCCTATTTAATAGTCTACAATATATGCATAATATGTTCTCCGAAAATTAATGTAAATATAAGGAAACCCCCTTTTTTTATCATTATACGATAGTATCAAGTCCACAGGTAATTAAAGTGTGGAAATTTGGATTTTAGTTGTTCAATAATTTGTGTTCATCGCTCATACATATTCATAAGTTCATAAAAAATTACGATAATTATTAAATATAATATATATGATGCACGTATGTATCCTTATAGGTACACGATAGAATTCATTTGTGAGATTTGCTCAACTAAATACCTATGTTCCCGTTATATATCGGTTAAACTGGATTATTAATAAATATTAGTTATTCACAATAATTTTTTATATATTACGTGTATGTGTGTCACCTCTTTTGTCTTAACTATGTGTATGTTCTTACAATTTTAACAACTATACACGTTATAATTATCAAAACTTTAAATTTTGTATCAAATATTTAAACCACTTAATTTTCATTAAGGAGAATTATTATTATGTATTATTAATATTAATAATAATGCTGAATAATTCACAAATACTTTAACAAATTATTGTGAATTAATACAATTAAAGTTTGTATAATTTTAAAATTTAAGTTATGATGACAGTTTTCTTAAAAAATATGAATTATAAAACCAAACTTAGGAGTAAAAACATATGGGTTTTATTATATAGGTAGTTCAAATGCAATTTAATTTCAAAATGTATAGTGGTACAAGCCATTGTAGAATGATTAAATACTAGGTACTAAAATTATAAATATATGCCACAGAAACAAATAATCATCAATCAAATTATTATTTGATTGAATACAATAATTTGTGTTGAAAGTCACATTAATATAATAAATACATTTGAATAAAATAATAAATACAGCTATTTAATAAGATATTAAAAATAAAATAATAATAATAATAATAACACGTATGTATAATGTATATATTTATATAAACATTCTTATTTTGGTCAATAACCCAATAACAAATAATTGAACTCTTCAATTAAAATATTACGTCTGTATTCAATAACATAAAATACACGTTTCTAGTCTACTGAGTTTCGTAATATATTTTTTATCATTTTTTCTTTTTGTAGCCGAATTCATTTGCCACTAAAATAGATAAAAGGTTCACTTCAGACATTAGTATACAATTATGTATTATTAATATTACGAAATACCTTTATAGTTGTCTTCGTAATAACACAGTAAATTCCATAAATCAATGCCTTGGTCGGTTTCTATGTCCATGAGACCACCGTATTTAGTTGGTAAACATTTGGCATCCAGATGTGCTAATAATGATGAATGATCATAACCGTGAAAAAGCATCTGAAACAATTTTTACAACTATAATAAAATTTCTCGATACTTGCGTTGCAAGCCACTGCACTTAAAAAACAGACACTGATAGATATTATATGAGATTTTGACATCATTAATAATGCTCAATAAATTCGAGAAATTTTAAAATTATAAATTTATGTTTACAATACTTCCTACATTTTCAGGGCGGAGTATGGTCTTTCTAGACTAATGACTACTTTAAACAATCCGAATTGAATCAAATATTTATAAAAAAAATTGACGTATTTTGCACACTTGGCAGTATTAAATTATAATAATATTGTAGAAATTATAAAATTTAAGTATATAGACGCATTATTTCCGTAGTATACATAATATAAGATATAGTGTAAAAGTATAAGACTCACACAAGTTTAGTTGAACAAATTACAGATGACACAGTAGCTATAAGTATAGGTAGGTACATTGTTAAAAAATTTTCAGAACAAATAAAAACATTATTGTTGTGTGATATATATATATATACCCTAACCTCCCCCTTTAACTAATAAAATCGGACATTGAATAAAATTCCTACATTATTTATAATATATTATATGTATTATGTATAAAATTTAACAATAATATAATGTATAAAATTCCTAACAATTTTAGATACAAAGGCACATTGGGTCCTTCTTGCGTTTAGTTTAATAAAATAGTATTTTTTTTGTTTTATCATTATTTTAGATTTTAGATACCTGATGTGGAAAATAATTATGGTATACTTTGAGTACCTAGTTGTCTATTAAACTTAGATTATTAAACTAACAGTATTAAAACAAAAAATAAGGTCAAACAAGTAAATTAGTTATACAAAAACATTTTTAGTATATTTTAAATATAACCATACAAAATGTAGGTTTATCAAACAAAAAGTCTAAGTTATGATATTATGCTAATTTTAATTAAGCCCCGTAAATCGGTTCTAACGCAATTGATGAGGTATACCAGTTTTATTATTTATCGTACATCAATGAAATACAAAATTCTACATTTCTGATACATCAGTAAATATTATAAAATTAGTTAGGTAGTAAAGTGCACTGTTAACATTGTTTACGTTATTTTTGAATTTAATGAACATATTTATTATTTAATTTCAATATTTACCTTTTTTTACTTTTAACAAATAGTAATAATTATAGGATAAATGATAATAGTGAAAATAATCAAGAAACCGTAATAGTAGTTTTTCACAATGATTTAAAACAATTTAATTAAAATATAAAGGTTAATTGATTTTGGTCTTGTAAAGTATTTCATAAAAAGCGATTTTTGAGCAATTAATTCAAAGATATTTTACTAGATTATTAATATTTTGTTAAAATTTTAGCTTCAAACGCTTATTAAGTTATCGATGTTTTAATCTCAACATTTTTTTTTTTTTAACTGCACTAATAATTAACTATCTGAAGAAGAATATAAATTACATTTTCAAGTCTTCTGACCATGCGAAAAGATTTTTGAAAAAAAAGGTTAGAAAAAAAATAATGACTAGGCATTTTTAATTTTGACATCTCAAAAGTACAATATAAATTCACTTTAATAACAGTAAACATCTTGAAGTTGAAAAATTAAAGCATTTTTCCTACCTACTACAAAATATATACACATAGGTAAGTACTAAAAAAACACAAATTCTCCGCTTAGAACTTAAAAATAAAGCAAACTGATTAAATTTTATAGAATGTTTACACAAGTCTATTATATTGTCATATTAAAAAAATGTAAAAAGATAAATAATAGGAATGTAGGTACATGGTTGTGCTTCGGATAAAATTCACTTTTATGTGTAAACACAAATAATATTATTATATTCGCTCCAAGTATTTTATTTGTTTATTCAATATTATACAATTAAACTTAACTTATGTGTTTATATTTGAAAAACATACGTACTACGTAMATACAACTTAAATAATATATTATAATGTACCAAGTGATTTACTAACAACTCGCATTAAGATGGTGGCTGTAGTGGGGGTAACCAAAACTCCATTAGGTATTTCAATAAGCACATGTAGGCTCCCGAGGGCCACTCTTATAAAATAGCTATTTCTAAGATATATGTATCGTTCGTTATTTAATAAATTAAAATGTATATTGCATATTAACCTTTACAATACCTAACGATATATTTGACATACCTATCAAAGTGGTTTTTAATTTTTTACGAAATTCGAATGTTTAATTTATATTTATGTGACTGTAAGTTGTAAATCGTCCTGTTTATTTAATTTATAAATTTTCATCAGATATAATTTCGTATCTACTTATAGTTGGAATAACCTGGTAGAATTATTGAACATGATATGCGATTTGCGCCGTGTTATTTAGTGTCATGTCAACCGGCTGGATAACTTACTACTTTACTACTAAGTAGGTATTTATAAATATTATTTTGCTACACAACATTTTTATAGATGTATTTTAATGGTCATAATCACTCATTTATTTTCATTTTTATTTATTCTTTGACAATATGATGGCACAGGAAAGCACCAAAAACTACATTGAATTACAATGCTCACTAAAATTAATTAATTTTAATCTAATTTGAATAAAATTAAATACATATGCAAACAATATCAAATTTTAAATACTAACAATCGCCTTATCATTGCATTCTATACTGTAGAAATATTCCACTAGCATATTCATACAAAAAAAAAAAACATACAATTTACCTTAATATTAAAACTCAAAAGTGATCAATATTGCTGATCATCTTAAATAGTGTTATTGTTATATTTTACTCAACATGGTTATTAGTTATGAATTATGACTCGATAAAATGTTTTTGACGTGTTTATTAATTATGATTATTTTTTAAGTGCTGTGTAAATATTTAATTAAAAATGCATAAAACTATTGCACTCCCTGTATGAGTTTATTAACTATATACTTTGCAACTGTTTTATATTTTGTAACTGAACAAAATGTCAATACAAAATTATAATTAGATATACCCATAATTTACATAATCTATCTACTAGAGATCATTACAGTACAGTCTATTATAAGCTTACGTAATATGTTCTTCATATTAAATACAATAAAATGTATCTAACTATCCACATTTTTCAAAAAWWAAA